AGGCCTCCGCCGTGGGCCTCTCCGCTGGCGTGGCCAATGTTGCGGGCGGACAGACCGTCCCTCCTCTTCTGCGCCGTCCCCCGCGGCCTCTCCGCCGCTTCAGGCGTCTTCGTTGTCCCCCTCGGGCCCGCCTGAAAGCGGCATCGTTTAGTTATGGTGGGTGGGGAGCGGGAGGGGGAGTGGTTCAGAGGCGAGACTGGCCCTGGGGGCGCGGGCAGGTGCGCCTTGGGCAGCTTGTGAGGGCGGCTGGCCGGGCTGCTGTGGCTAATGGAGATGGGTTTTAGTCTAGCTGTGGTAACCGCTAAATAAAGTGCTCCTCAGTCTCCTCTTCCATGAGAGCTTTACTGTGGTGCATTTTTGGAGACATCCCTGTGAATTGGGTAAACATACCTACTTCATAACCTTCCCGAGGTTGTGAAGTTTGTTTTCCGCACCTCACCTGGAATCCCCGGCTCAGCTCTTAGTTGCTACAGGAGCGGAGTGTGCGTTAGGTTTGTTTCAGGTGGCCGGCCTGAGCATCCCTGTTTTTTTTCGTCACTCGGCGACAACTGCGACAGCACCTCTCTCGGTGGGACGGGCGGCAGGCCTGGGCGAGAGCCTGACAGCAGCGGCTCAGGCTGGGCTGACCTGTATCCTGCACAGCCATCCTGCTGAGTTATAGCAGACTGCTGAAACCTCACCGGCTGTGTGAAAACAGGAATTAGGAGCTTTTATGGTGCAATTTTGTATGTTGCATTTCACTAGCAGCCCTCTGATAATCAAAACTGTAGTACTGACCGGTGCCGTGTATCCCAGAAGTCTGGAAAAGTCTGTGTACGTGGGCGGGAAGTTATGGTGAACTTGTTTTTTTTTTTTTGAAACTGTTTGGTGTTTTTTCCTTTACTATATTAAGACATGGTGCTTTGTGCTTCACATTACCAGTTGTCCTGTTGGGCTCTGGTGGAGAATAGTGCTAAGGTTAGATCTTGTAAAATAGGATTAAAGATTTAGTAAACTACTAGGCTGATTCACAGACCACTTTCTCAAACTGTAATCTCTTAATGATAGAATAACTGAGTGTTTAAACAAAGGTTGCTGGCAAGGTTGTAGTGCTTGAGAAATACTTAATTGTTTTGACTGGGTACCAGGGTGTATGATGTAGTGAGTGGACAGGTCTAGCTCTTAATGAAACCATTCATTAAAACATTTGGGCTTCCCAAATGTGCCTGCCATCTAAATAGGCACACTGGAGATGGCTCTGTTTGTTTTCCTCAAGACAGTTTGGCTGAGCTGAATGTGGTGAGTTTGCAAAACTTTCATGCGCTTCTGAGGTTAATCCATCTTGAACAGAGAACTTCAGACGATTCTATATTGTCCCTTGGCTTCTGAACCTCAAACTGGTCACTAACCGTGTAAGTATTGTGGAAACATGTATGTTAATTAGATTAAAAGAATAAAGGAAAGCTTTTGTGACAGCCTGTGGTAAACTGAATGTCTTATTCCAAGCCCAAACAGCAAGCCTGTCCTGTTTTTCATCCTGTGGATGGTAGCGAGTGCCAAGGAGGAAGAGTTTAACAAGGAGAAATGCCTGTTGGTACCTCAATTCAATGCTTATCCTGGTATCAAGAGTGCTCAGGGGAAAGTAATTTTGCAGCTGCATTGCTGCTTGTGTGAAGAACCAGTTCTTTAGGGTGTTTTGAACCTCTGGTATGTCAGTTTCACTTGCTTTCCTCCAGTTCTTGTACTGGAAGAAGGGGTGAACGACCTTGCACAACTGTGTTCACTGTGTCCATGAAATCCTGGGCAGTGTGGAACTATATAACCTTTGTTACTGGCTGAAGGACCCTGATGGGTTGGACTGATTGTTTTATGAAGGTGGTCCACATGTGTGATTCTTTGCTGTTTTTCTTTCTTGGCCCCTTTTGAGATGGGAGTTAGAACTGAAAACAGTCTTTGAGTTGAATACAGTGTGGGTTAATACAGTTACCTAATCATATAGTACTTGCATAACATCCTTCAAGTAAAAGTAAAGCAAAATAAACTTTGGGAGCTGTCTAGAAGCACTAATGTATTTAAATGCATTTAACTTTGAAGTTCCAAGGACACATACAAGGTACAGTTGCATATATTAATCTTGAATCCTCCTGGTAGTAAATTGTTACACCTTTAGAGATGTGGCAGTTATTTTAGATGGTGATTTAAATGTTGATAATGTATTTGTGGAGCCTCTCATTAAGTAACCCAGTGGATTAGATGTATCTCACACATAGTGTAGAAAAGGCTGTGATGAAGCAACTGGGAATATGTGCTGTTGAGCAAATTATGCATTGGGAGTTGTCTTAATTAAATATATATTCTTAAATATATATTTGGTATTAGCAGTTTTTGTACTGTACAAGAATAGGAAAACTGGGTAGAACAAATAACAATCTGTTCATTATTCCTTCTCATATAGTGGCTGACTTTATCTGCCTTTGTTCCTCAGACTCCCAGCCCGTGGCATTTTTTTCCAGTTTAAGAGTTTAAATGACAAAGATACATGTAGTTTCTCAGTTCAGAAGGCTCAGTTATTCCTGATAAAGGGGACATCTTGATGAAGGTGGCTGTTGTGTCTGGTACCCTGTAGCACCAAAAGTTATTTACTTGCTTGGATTAGGAAGCTTTGGAAAAGAACAGAAGTGAAACAGACTTGATCAGATACAGTATGTATGGATACTTCTACTGTAGTAGTCTAAATTTCTTAAAGTATATAATTATGTTGACTTTAATATTAAACAAAATAATGATGGGAATTCCGTAGCATGTAACTATCATACTGTGTATTACCTAGAGAAATACTATTCTGTCAAAAGCCCCAAATTTTAAGGGTACTTGAGAAACAAAGCTTTTAAACATTTGTCTGTGGAGCTCTTTATACTGTGCCTTGTGAAAAAACATTTAAAAATATCCTCCCTTAATCTTGCTTAGTAACAGTCTATTCTTCAGAAGGGAAGGGAAAGAAAAGATTTAGGGTCTGTTCTTGATAGTGATATTAGTAAGTTGCTGACTCATCCTTTGGACTTGAGTCTATTGGCTGTTTTATCCATAGCATTATATTAGCGTAGTCAAATTTTTGCTAGTGGAAACTTTTATAACTGTTTATGCATGACTGTTGTAGGTTGTTCAGCTAATGTGATTAGGATGGGTTATTTTTGCACTCGAAGCAAGGCCATTTCTGCTGTTGGGTTAGGTTGCCCAGGACCTTAGGTTTTGCTGAGTCTTTGGAGACATGTTTCCACAGCCTCATCAGGAAGCCATTTCCAGTGTTTGGCTACCCTTCTTGTAAAAACTTCTGGTTTAATACTGCAATTCCTTTGTTGCAGCTTTTTTTTTTCCTTTTTTTTTTTTTTTCCTGTGTACCTTGGAGGAGAGCCTGGCTCATTCTTTACTCAAGGCATCCCCCCCTTCACCTGTCCCTTTAGACAGCTTAAGACTGGAAGTGTATATCAGCAACCCATATTAGCTTTTTCATATCTAGTCTGAGGAAACACCGTGCTTTCAGACTGTACCCATGTGCCATAGGTAGTAGTAGGCAAACCAGGAACAAGAAGGCAGCTTTCTACAGAGGCCTCCCCCTGTCCTTCTTCACCTGTGCTTTGAACAGATCCATGTCTGTCCTGCTGGAGCTGGCATCCACCTTGCCTGCTCTGTGCTGTGCCCCTTCACCACCAGGTGAGTTACTGCATGGCAGCATGCCTAGTACTGAGATCTTTGCACAGTCTTTTTTTTTTTTTTTTTTTTTTTTTAAGGGGGGGTGGGGCGTGGTGTTGAAGGGTAGACAGGTTTTAGTTACATCAGCCTGGATTCTACAGTATAATATAATTATACCGGTTCCAGATTTGTGATGAAGTGAAGCATGATTTTTCCTGTTGGTTTCAAGGATTGTCTCCTTTAACCTCTTGTGAAATTTACCTTCCTGCTTTAGACAGCTGACTTTTTCCCATTTTGTGTGTGTTTTTTTTTTTTTTAATAAAGCCTTGAAAAGCTTTGAATGGATGCTTTGATGGGAACAAAGTGTTTCTCTAAATAAGCAATGCCTAAAATGCAGTGCTAGGCCCTAGTTAAGTCCTAACCATGGACTCTGGTCTGTAATAGTGAAATGAGTGAGTAGCAGGAAGAAATGGATTTCTGGTCACATTGCCTCTGTGATACTTTGTCATTCATGGGCATATTGTTGCAAATGCTGCATGTGGGAAAAATAGAAATCTGATCTGTAATTTTTACTCTCTTTGCCTGAACTTGATCCTGAGTTGGGCAGTGGGATATTTTCTTTGGGAAGGGGGGCAGTCCTTTCAGTATATACAATGAACCATTCAGCCTTGACCAAAATGCACACTGTTCAGAGCTTGATACAAGAATCTACTTAAAAACCAAACATAACCCCCAAAGTGATAGTATTTGCATAGGATATCACTGTGCTACATTGTTTGACCATCTGTGATATGTTTTCCTGCAGTATTTTGTTAACTCCCAAGTGTTATTTAGGCTAAACACTTTGTATAATTTAGTATGTATTTTTGGTCTTTTCCCTCTTAGAACATAATTGGTTCAATTAAAACCATTAATACCTGTGGTGTAATTGCATTTTATGGAGTTACAAACTGGTGTTAGAAAGTGCTGCCCATTAGAATTTTCTGCTATAGCAACATGCATGGCTTAGTATATTTTACCAGCCCCTGCAACTGCCTCTGTAATCTACTGACTACATATTCCTCAATGAAAGCTTTTTTTAGTAGTTCAGTTTACTGAGTAAAAAAGTAAAAATGTACCACTGCACATCTTCAGTCTTTATATTGATGAAAGCATCAAACAGAACATTGATTTGTTCAGCTAGACAGAAGACCAGCCATAGTGCTTGGTCATAGGTATGAGTTGAGAGAGAAGGAAGGTCCTATTTCTGAAGTGCTGGTGAGTTTTTGGTTGAGAAGATTGAAACAACTACTCGGTGGCTTTAGTAGCTGGATCATTTAACAAGATATCTGTCAGCTCATTCCTAGGTTTCTAGTAATATTCTTAGACTTACACACCCTTACTAAAGGGAAATACTTGCCATTATCCTACTTATATCTATCTAATATCAGATTACTGCTGCTTTGTGATGGTTCTGTCATTTTTTTCTGTTTAAGAAGTGCACAGTGGTGGGTACTGACTGAGGTATTGAAAATGAAAATAAAGTATTAAGGCAATGTGTCAAGTGTGACAAGGTTGGGTTTTTTATTTAAAATGTTTAAAATGTAAGTTTTCCTCTGCAAAAAACAA